AAAAACCAGCTGTTTCTCATTGACGTTAGTAATTCAACTCAATAAGGTTTCTTTCTTATAAAACATGAATATGCCTCTATGACTGATAAAAAAATAGATCTGTTAGTCGAACCATAAGGGTGGTATTCGTTTTTTTTTGATCGATAAAATGACTTTCGGGTTTCTCTGTATTTTATTTGAACAGAAGAAGATTATTTTATTAGTATATGATCTAGGACTCATCGGTTTGAGCCCGTCGTTCTGCTTCTTGTTTGATCATTGTCTGCTGAATGTTTATTGGTAGTCCAGGATTCAGACTCAATGCATATCGTAGCTGTGTTTTCGGCATATTGCTGAAATCGACCATAATCTTGATGAACATAGTGTCATCTCGAACATATGGATTACCATCTGATTCAATCATTGTCAATAGACAAAATTTGGGTATTCCACTTGCAATATTCATTTCCGATCGCGGTCGCTGAAAACTATTCGATTTAATATCCGGTAGAAAGGAATCAATGATATGTTTTTGAGCTGAAGTTTGATCATACAAACAAAATGTAACCTTGAAATTGAATGGAAACGTCAAAATGGCATCATATTCACTTCGCATAAGCACGAAAAAGAGCGACATATGTGTACGACGCGCATTCCCATCTCCATTCAAATACAATCGACCTCTCATCTTATAACCAGTTGGTGATGAATAAAATGGAGGTGAATAGATCGAAGGTTGTCGTTCTGATTGAGCATCCACTAAAAATCAAATATTATTAACTCACTATATGGACATATATTGTAATTTTGGCGTTTTTCGCCGAAAATAATATACAAAAGATTATAAAAATAGACCTACGTCGATATAAGAAACTTCATGTGATTGAAACATGGAGTGAAAAAAAGTAGTACTAACTTTTACTTAGTAACTTGTTCATTAAACTCTGATAATAGTATTCAATCTATGAGGAAAATCATAAATCAATATCAATCTTACTCATCTTTTCTTTGAACTTTGTTATTTTCCATGTTAGTGTTCCATCATATGAAATAAATTGCATGTCCTCTAGTTTTTGTTTTAATGACAAAACATCTTGTTGAAGAATATCTTGATTAATTTTAAGTCCATCCAAGAAAATATTTTGTTCTTGAATACTTAATTTGAGTATAGGGATGTCTCCAGTTAAGGCATCGATTGAATTTTGTATTTTCACTGACTCATAACTAAGACGTTGTGTATCTTCATTCAATGTTTGAATCCCACCCACTAGAATATCAGCTGTTTCATATACTTCTTGATATTGTGCGTTCATATTATTATTGATAGGTAAAATCATAGTAGTCATGGAACTAGAAGGAAAATCAACCTCCATCCCAGACACTCTGTTATGATGATTATTCGAACATTTGAGCATTAAATAACGTATAAAAGCAATTATTGCACTCTGATGTTGTTCAGTCACATAATGATCCGACATCTGAACACGTACTACTGAAGTGCAACAACCAAAATCTTTGAGAATGCAAGGTATGGTGAATTTATCGCATTCTTTAAGTTTGTGTAAATGAAGACTATTCGTTGAGGCAAACCTTTTACCACAATAATCACATGCTGAATTTTGATGAGTTTGCAAAAGATGATCCTTAAAAAACCGTATATGTCATTATAAAACTATAGATGTATAGTAGAATGCTAAGAAGACTTTCCTATGTTTTTATAGTGATGACTGTTCGGCTATTGAGAAACATTAGTCGTGATGGAAATGATTTACTATTCCATTGCTGACTAGTTGCCAATAGGTCGATAGCTTATCAGTCAGTCTGGATACCGTTTAATGTAATAGCGACACAAAACTGGTAAATTGGGATTGATAGACAAAGCTTTTATGTACGAAGGATATAAAACTATTATTCTACATTTTGCCCAATATCGGTTGAATAGTCTATGTTCAAGATTCTAACTTATTGTCAATGCTTTGAAAAAAGAACACCATAAATTCATCGAACTTCTTGAATGAAGATAAAGTTTTTCGATGTCTTGCATTAAAAGATAAGCAGATTTTTATCTAAAGATATGATTGATTTAATCTATCTACAGATTAAACTAGAATTTTCAACTTTGTTTGTACTCCATCACTTATCTTATATTCATTTCTATCAAAAACTGGGTATTCTATTGAGTTTCATAAACATGAGTGATAGTTAATTGTTGTACCTCATAGTCTTTCAATGGACTATTCCAATTACATAATGAGCATTCTATAATTAATGTCAGCATATCTTTTTTGAAACCTCTATCAAGCAGCACCTAGAAGAGTAAAACATATTAATTGAATAGAAACAATTTTCACAGCCTGACATCCTTTTTCAACGTGTCTTCTCGACATTCTGGACATTTTACTATCGTCCTTGAAAATATAAAGATGATTTTTTTTTAACTTAAATCAATCAAAATTCAAATGCTTACCCCTGTACGGATTCAACACATGATTTACATTGTCGATGTCCACAGGCAAGTTGAACAGAATCTCGTAAAATTAGAGAGCATATTTGACAGAGATATTCCGAATTGATAGTATCTTTATTTCTTGCGTCAAAGCCAACCAGTATTTCATAATGCTATAATATACATCTATGACACTGAATAAAAAGTTCATAGAAACAAACTTTTGAGTTTGACTGCTCATCGAAGTTTTCTTTTGACTCTTGAATTTTACTTTGGGTCGATCCTGAAATGATATTTTTTGTTTACTAAATTAAAAGATCGAAATTCTTCGTCTTTATAACTATTCAAATTCATTATATCAGACTATTGTGAGAAAGAACAGCGGGTTTTGTCTCTCTTCAAATATTCAGAGAATATACTATTATT